AGAAAGAGATTAGACACCAAGAATGAAGGGAAAAACAGAGAGTTAAAAGGCAGGAGACAAACAGCTCAAAGACTGAAGCCCTCAAGCCATGCCTTTCTGTGGCTTTATTGAAAACTGCCAGGGAGCAAATCACAAAGAGAATTCTATGCATATGAAGCTAAGCTCATTCTGTTGACAGTCTTATGCTTGACTCAGGAGGGAATAGCTGGCAAATACAATCCAAGAATTGTGAAAAACACCTGAGAATCTGCCTTGGCATTTGCCCCCTGTGACCTGTCTCAGGAGGAATTACAGCTTGTACTTACATCTTCCTCATAGTCTAATATAACATTTATCATTAATATGATATTATTTGATATTTAGCTTCCCACAGAATAACATGTGGTTTGCTGTGATCCTGGAATCTATGTCACTGGTGTTTCAAATACCACCAGGAGTGGAAAAGTTTTGGCAGAGCTCCCCCAATAAGTCAAACTAGGAAGCAGATTTGGCCATCCACTTCTGAAATAACAGTCCTTTGAAAATCCTGTGAACAACTGAGGATCACAGGTAGTTGATATTGACATGAATCTTTTTCTTATTGTCTTTTAACTTTCAATCTGTTTGTTTCTTTGGACTTAAGTAAGGTATGTCTCTTGTAGATATAGGATCATATCTTTAAAATCCATTCTAAGTTCTCTGGGGTCATGTTTGATGTGTATTACTGCTCTTTCCCCTGAAGAGTGGGTGTCTTTGAGCCTTTGGCTAAGGGTGGAGGTCTGCTTGAAGGCACGGCTTTAAAATCTTGCAGGGTCCTTGGGCCTGAGGCCCTCAGGCCAAATTTATTAATTTTTGAATGAATATTTCTTAAATGACACAGCAATCATTTGCCTATTTGCTGGACTGAACAACTTGGTGGTGTTGTGATGCCACACACTGTTCCATAGTCTTGTCAATACCATAGTGGTTACCCACTATGTACAATGTTTGGATGAGCTTCCAGAATGATTTATGTTGGGAAGCAGGTATGGCATCCATTTCCTAAACTAGATGCTTCTGGAAACTCTACAAACGCTCTCAATGCACAGACATGATGTTAGTTATAGAACAGAGTTCAGGTCTTTTGTACAAAGCTTACTCTTGGTTGTATTCTATTTGATGACACTTAATGACTGCTAAATGAGACTAGTGCTATTATATCTTGAGGAACACTCTTCCACTTCGTACATCACTCTGTGTCAATGTGCTGTATGAAGTAACCTGGTTTTGCTGTGATGCTGAACTTTGTGCCATTGGGGTATCAAATACCAGAATGGTTTCCGAACATAGACAGTGTTTAATGGAGCTCCCAGTTGTAAAACAGGTTTGGAAGCAGGAGTGGCATCCACTTCCTAAACCACATGCCTCTGGAAACTCTATGAACTTGGAGAAATGACAATAGTTATGGAAAGGCATTAGGTGTTTGTTTGTTTGTTTGTTTGTTTTTTAAAAGAGCAAACCCTTTAATAGTCTTTGTTAAAAATCCTTTGCCCTGGAAGCTGCCCTCTTACACTGGTGGCCCCTCAGGGTTTCTGCCCACCTGCGAGGTGGCAGATACTCCCAGGCCACTTGTTTAAATAAATACCTGTCCCCTGAAGGTGGGTGTGAGGACAGGGCCCTCTCCCTGCTGAGGGCCTGCCTTGCCGGGGACACCTTGCATGTTTACACCTTTTCTGACTGTGTCAGTGGCCAAAGCATGGCAACTGGGCATCAATAAACGTCTCTGAGGAAGCTGGGGCTTGCAGTGTTGTACGTGGTAGGGGGTGCTGGCTCACTCCGGGATGTCAATCACCAGGTCATTGTCCGCGCTGCCTGCATCGCTGAACATCTGCCGAGGGATGGTGCTCAGGATTGTGTGTGGGGGCATCTTAGGAGGGGGCAGTGGGGCCAGGGCTGCCCCCACCCCAGCCCCAGCCCCTCGACCTGGAAAGGTCAGCGGCCCTCCCACAGGGCAGTCAGGGGGTCCCACCTCCATCTTGAGTTTCCGGGGCAGGCGGGGCCGTTTCTCCCGTTTGGGCCTTGCGGGGCTGGGCTCAGGCAGCTGCAGGGCCAAGTAGTCAGAAGGGAATGGTGGGTAGGTGGGGGAAGCCAGCTGCGAGCTCAGGTATGGGGAAGGGGCCCCAGAGGCCTGAAGTGGAAACCCTGTTGAAGAAGGCAGGGAGAGGCTGGAGGGGGATGGGGCACCCCCAGCGGAGGGCTTCTCTTCCTGTTGGAGGCTGGTGTGTCTGACAACTTGGGTGCCCCCTCTGTTTCACTGTTATCTGAAGAGGCAGTGGCATCTGAGTCAGAAGAGTCTTCATCCACGTTCTCGTACTGCAGAAGCTGATCAAGGAGGAAACTCTTGTCCCCGGACACCTTCAGCAATTTCCTCTGCGCTTTCCTTAGCTCCTCCTGGAAGCACTCATATTCGTAGATGAGAAATTTGAGCTTCCGCTTCAGGTATCGGTATTTCTTCTTGTAGTCCACCTCGCCATCGGCCGGCCCGTTCATGACCGGCCGCAGGAGCAGCGGCCCGGTGCCCGCTACCCCCGGGCCGGCTCAACCGGACCTCGACTTCGGCGCATCAGGTGTTTTGTTTGTAGAGTTGCTATGAGTTGTGCTTGACTCCATGGCAATCAACAACAACAGTCACTTTCTACTTAAAATTTATGCTTAATCCATTTACATTTAAGGTAATTACTGAAAGTGGGAGAAGGATGAACAAACCCTTCTGGTGTGATTAACTCTCTGAAAACCTGCCAGAGGGTCAGCTATGGGTCTGTTTCATATTGGCATAACAACAACAGTGGATAAGGAATGACTTACTTCTATCACTTTGCTAATTGATTTTGTAAGTCTTATATCTTTTTCTTTCAATTCCTATGCTTATGTACTATATTCAGTTATTTTTTTTTTGTTTTGAGATTTTTTCTATATTCTATTAATGCATTTTAAGATACATTTTCAGAGCTTACAATATCAGTTCTATTTATAATTTTATACCAACAAGTAATATATAATATTAACATACAAAAATTGTATTATTTTACATCCTATTTCAGCTAATGTGAAGTTATATTTATGTATTATATTTGCTATTATTAAAAATATTTAGCTATATTTACTGAACTATATAGCAGTTAAATTTACCAGACAAAACTGACTGGTTGATTAAATCATGAAGATGTCACACCTATTCTTTACCAACATGTTTAAGTCCAAAGACTAGATGATTATACAAGGACAACATTATGTGAGGAAGAGAAGGATGTAGAGGCAGACTCAAAGCCTGGGCCTTCAGAACTACATGGTTCTCAGTACCATTGTGCTCTGGAAACCAAAGTCCTGCCATTAGGACTGGTGCTCAAGTTGACTTGGAGCCCAGAAACAGGACTAGAGACACACTTGGTGGCTTTTGGATTCCAATTCAATTGCAGTTGGACATTTTGGCTATTTCTGTATTGTTGCAACTCTGAATAACATTACCATAAATATTAGTGTACAAATCTCCATTTGTGTCTCAGCTCTAATTTCCACAGGGTATATGTTTAGCTGTGAAAATAGCTGGGTCATAAGGAACTTCTTGTTCAGTTTTTTAGGGAACACCAAACTTCCTTCCACAGTAGTTGTACCATTTTACAATCCCATCAACAGTGTACAGAAGTTCCTATTTCCACATCCTCTCCAACATTTATTCCTTGCTGCCTGTTAAATTTTGCCACTGCTTTTGAGGTGAAATTGTATCTCATTGTGGTTTTTATTTGCATCTCCTATTGCCAGCAATTATTAGCATTTCTTCATGTGCCTGATAGCCATTCAAATGTCTTCCTCTGTGAAAAGTCTTTCACTGTCTTTTGCCCATTTTGTAATTGTGTTATTAGTGTTCTTGTGTGTGTAGGATTCTGTAAACTTTTGTTAAGAGACCCTTGTCTGAGATGGTATTGTCAATTGGTTTTCCCAGTGAGATTTTCTTTTTACCCTGTTAGAAAAAGGTTTTGATGTGCGTAGGGATTTAATCTCTAGAAGATTTCATTCATCAATTTTATCCTCTCCTGGTTGTGTATTTCTGGCTGTATTTGTCATCCTTTTTATACCATAAGCGAGTCCTTCTAAGCTTGGTCCTACTTTGTCTCTTGTGATCTTTATGGTTTGGGGTAAAACCATTAATGTCTCTGATCCACCTTGAGTTGATTTTTTTTATATGGTGAGAGATATGGATACTGTTCAGCTTTCTGCAGGTAACAGTCCAGTTTTGCCAACACAATTTGTTGAAGAGGTTGTCAATTCCCCATTTGATAAGTTTTGTTTCCATGTTGAATATTAGTTGATCATGGAGAAATAGATTAATTTCTGAGTTCTCAGTTCTGTTCAGTTGGTCTATATGCCTGTCATTATACCAGTATCACACTCTTTTGGTTATTACAGCTAATTGTATAGTGGGTTTTGAGATCAGGGAGTGTTATGCCTTCCTCTTCATTATTGTTTTTCAGAAATGCTTTGCTTATTTGAGATCTCTTTCTTCTCCAAATAAACTAGTCAAGTGCCTTCTCTATTTCTCTGAAAAATGATTTTGATATCTGTATCGGGATTGTGTTAAACATGTAGATTTCTTTTGTAGGATTGCCATTTTCACTTTATTGAATCTATCTTTGAACAGGAAACATTTCCCCATTTATTTAGATCATTTATTATTTCTTTCAGAAGTTTTTTTTCTTTGTAGCCAAGAAGGTTTTAACCCCTAGACAATATTAATTAATTTAATGCCTAAAGCAACTGAACATGGTGAATGGGAGGATTTGTATATTAATCTAAAGAATTTAAGTCCTAGAATTGTTGGTGGCTTAGACCAAACTACAGCATAAAAAGATAAAATATTGAAGATAATAATTTATATAACAAGGATTTCATTATCATTGGAAACTTCAATTTATTCCGAAGGGGATTTATATTAAATCCTGACTTCAGATTGAGGATATGTATTATTTCTTTCTTTCCTATTACAGCTATGTTCCGTGGAACCTCCATGAGCCAGAAAGAGGAAAATTTGACTTCTCTGGGAATCTGGATCTGGAGTATGTGTTGCTGTTACTTCTGCTGCCAGACTCTGGGTGGAATGAGGAGGCTACCTACGATCCCTTGGGAACAATGAGACATTATGAGAAGAGGCAGAGTCTGAAGTGAGGTTCTTAGGATGTTCAGAAAGGCTGTGAGCCTGGGGCCAGTTGCTCTCCAGTGAACGTTTATTAAATTGAGTGGAGTAGGGCCTGCAACCTCTGTGCCTAGGTTTCTCACTCCATTACCAGAAGTAACCTAAGGCCTTGAGGGGAGACAGGGGAACAATGTTGAGCTCATTACCAGAGCTAGGATAGGAGCTGCTGTTTGAGATCAATTTCATTGTAACGACTCCCCTAGTACCCTCTCTGAGCTCTTTCTCATCAACCTCACCATGGATCTATAAAAACAGTACTCCCTCAACCAAAAAATGCCTTTTCTTTTTAATTTGCTGCTCTGCTGGTTAGGGAGCATCAGCCTTTGCTTTATTAACCTTGCCCCTTCAGTTGAGAGAGTAAGACAAGGTAAGTAGCTCACAGGAATTTGTACACTTTATGCTTTGTTTTCTGCACACCATGCATCCTACCTCTCTCTTCTGGCTCACACTCTTTCAGCTGTCTTTATCAGGCCTAGCTCTGAATGTCTATCACAAGTCACTGACACTGTCTTCCTCTATAGGGCCTTTATCTGGATGGCTGCAGAACTTGGGCTGTGGGTGATACTGCGTCCAGGTCCCTATATCTGTGCTGAGATTGACCTTGGTGGTTTGCCCAGGTGAGAAGGGCTGGGAAGGGTCAAGATTTGTAATTGAATTTCACATTACCAAGAGTAAAGTCTTAACTGAACAGTAGTCAAAATAATCATTGTTAAACACATATTATGTGTCATGTACTATGCTGGGTAGCTGTGTACGTCATCTCTTATATTGCTTGTAGTGATGTTAAGAGATCAAGTGTATTTTTGTGTTATAGATGAGAATTTTGAGGTATTGAGCTTGTAACCAAGTGGGTGAGAACAGAAAGGGTCAAGATGATCACAATTTTCTTTCTCTATAGAATAAGGATCTGGAAGAGATCTATATTTGTTTCCATTCCAAAGAAAGATGACCCAACAGAGTGTGGAAATTATTGTACAGTAGCATTAATATCACATGCAAGCAAGATTCTGCTGAAGATTATCCAAAAAGAGTGGAACAGCACATCAGCAGAATTATCATAAGTGCAAGCTGGATTTAGAAGGGGTTGTGGTATTAGGGATATTGTAGCTAATGTTAGATTGATCTTGGATGAAATCAGGGAATAGCAGAGGAATGTCTATCTGTGTTTAATTGGTTATGCAAAGGCATTTGACTATGTGGATCAAACGAAAATTTGGCTAACTCTGAGAACGGGAATCCCAGAACACTTGATCGTGCTAATGCAGATCCTATACTTGGACCAGGAGGCAGTCATCAGAACAGAGCAAGGAAACACTGTATGGTTCAAAACTGGGAAGAGTGTATGCCAGGGATGTGTCCTATTTCCATACCTTTTCAATCTATATGAAGAACAGATTATCCAGGAGGCCGGGCTCTATAAGAAGTGTGGCATCAGGATTGGAGGAAGACTCATCAACAATCTGTGTTATGCAGATGAAACAACCCTGCTTGCTGAACCTAAGGACGACTGAAGGCATTAGCCAAAAACAAAAAGAGAAATACAAATATAAACTAAGACTCAGGAATAGATGGAATACCAGTTGTCATGTTTCCACAAACAAATGCAGGTCTGGATGGGCTAACTTGTTAGTCTATGCTAAGAAGTTTGAAGACATCTACCTGGACAACTACCTGGAAGATATCCATATTTGTTTCTACTTTTTAAATAATTAAACAGAATGTGGAGATTATTGAAAAATGTCATTAAAATCACAAGTGTAATCCTGCTGAAAATTATTGGAAAATGGTTGGAACAATACATTGGCAGGAAAATGCATGAATTGCAAGCTGGATTCAGAAAAGGTCATGGTAAGAGAGATATCATTGCTGAAATCAGATGGATCTTGACTGAAAGCCATGAATCCCAGACAGATGTGTACTTGTGTTTCATTGACTATGCACAAGCATTTGACATATGGATCATAACAAAATATGGCTAAAACCGAGAAGAATGGATATCTCAGAATACTTTATTGTACTCATGAAAAATCTATACATAGACCAAGAAGTAATTGAACAGAACAAGGGAATATTGCTTGGTTTTTAAAATCGGGAAAATTGTGCTTCATAGTTGTATTTTTTCTTCTCTCAATATTTGTTCAATCTGTATGCTAAACAAATAATTTGAGAAGTTGGACTTACATGAAGAGGAATGTGACATCATGATTAGAGAAAGGCTCATCAACAACTTGTTTTATGCAGATAATATAACCTTGGTTGAAGAAGGTCAAGATGACTTGAAGTACTTAATGAAGAGGATCAAAGACAAGCCTTCCATATAGAATATACCTTGATGTTGTTGTTATGTGCCGTCAAGTTGCCTGTGACTCATAGCGATCCTATGTACAACAGCCCCAAACCCTGCTCTATCCCTTGCCAATTTTATTGTCTCCGACACCCCTATCCCTATTACCCCAGTGAAGGAATCAATCCATCTTATCAAGGATCTTCCTCTCCTGCACAGTCCCTTCACCCTCCCAAGCATGATGTCCCTCTCCAAGGACTGATCATGCCTTACAACACATGTCCAAAGTATATCAGATGAAGCTTCAAAATCCATGTCTCCAAGGAGCAGCCTGGTTTCACCCTCTCAAGGATGAACTTGTTTGTTCTCCTAGCAATCCATGGTATATTCAGTACTCTTCTCCAGCACCACAGCTCAAAGACATAAAATCTCCTTCTAACATCCCTAGTCATTGTCCAGCTCTCTGATGCATAGCAAGCAATTGCAAAGACCATGGTCTGTATCAGGCACATCTTAGTCTCCAGACTGACATCGTTGTTCTTCAGTACTTTGGAGAGGTCTCTGACAGCAGACTTTTCCAATGCAATCTGTCTTTTAATTTCTGGCTGCTTGGTACTAGCAAGCGAACTGAAGCTGTCAACAATCTCATTCTCTTCATCATCTATTACGATGCTGCCAATTGGCCCAGTGGTGAAATATTTGTTTTCTTAATGTTCAGCTTCAATCCGTGTTGAAGGCTGCAGTCCTTGACCTTCTGCAGCAAGTGCTTCAGGTCCTCCTCAGTTTCAGCAAGCAGGGTTGTGTCATCTACATAGCAAGACAATAAAACTCCTTACCACTGAACCAGTATGAAACATCATGATAGATGGAGAAAAGACTGAAGTTGTCAATGATTCCATTTTACTTGGATCCACACAATACCAACACAATTATAGCCATCAAGAAATAAAAAGATACATTACCTTGGGAAAACCTACTGTCAAAGACCTCTCCAAGGTGCTAAAGAGCAAGAGTATCATTTTAAAGATGAAGTAAAGTGGACCTGATTCAGTCCATGGTATTTTCAGTTGTTTCCTATGCATTTGAAAGTAGGAAAATGAATAAGGACCAAAGAAGACTCAACACCTTTGAATTGTGACATCGACAAAGAGTATTGAGTAGCAAATGAACTACCAAAAGAGCAAACAAATATGTCTTTGAGGAAGTGCAAACAGAGTGTGTTTTAGAGGTGAAACTTCATCTCTTGTTCTTTGGACATGTATGTTGTCGAGAGGGGCCAGTCATTGGCCTCATTCTGATAATGTTAAAGATTTGTCAGTGAAAGAGAGGAATATCCTCAATAAAAAGGTTCAACAGTGATGGTAACAATGGGCATGTCAGAGATTGTGAGGATGGCACAGGATAGGTTATGGTTCTGATTTGTTGCTCACAGGGTCACTGTGAATTGTTCTTTACTCAAGGGCACCTACCAATAGCAACAGTCATGTGCTTGAGGTACATACTCTGTGCTCAATAGTCTGATGACCTAAGAGTGGAAAGTAATATTCAATAAGAACTGTCAGTAAGGCTTACTGTCCATGGCCTTGGCCCTTCTTTAGTCCCTTGTTGTGAGGTACAATCAAGTTGACTCTGACTCACAATGACATTGTGAACAACAGACTGAAAACCGTGCCCTGTCTTGCACCCTTCTCACAATCTCCCCTGCACTCCAGCCTATTGTTGGAGTCACTATGTCAGTCCCACTTATTGAGAGTCTTTCCCTCTATTGATGACTCTACTTTTCCCAGCATGCTGTCTTTCCCCAAGGACTGGTACCTGCTAGTAACATGTGCAAAGTATGTAAGAACAAAGTTTTACTATTCTTGCCTCCAAAGAGTTCCCTAGTTGCAAGTTACTCTAAGACAGGTTTATTTGTTCTTTCAGCAGTCCATGGTTCCCCGGGCTGGCCAAATGAGGGTGAAGACTTGAATTATGCAGTCTCTTTTCAGACTGATGAGAGACATTGAGGGTTGTAGGGTGAAATCAAAGAAGCCAATCTGTGCTGCAGGTGGCTTTATGAAGGTGGCTCAATGGAGGTAACTGGCTGCCAAACTTGCTGCTAACCCTGACCAGCTGCCTGCCTGTGTTTCAGTCTGAAATGCTCTCTCTCCTCTTTCACCCTCAGCTGGTTGATACAAGACCCAAATCTGAAACTGAGGACAACCAGCAAGGGCTTTGTTGATGCAGTTGATCATTATTTTGATTATCTGATTCCCAAGGTGATCCCTCTCCAGGTATATCAAACTATGTTTTCTCCTTTTTTTTTTTTTACATTCTCCTTAGGCAAATGCGCTGTTGTTGTTTTGGGTGCTTAATCTTTTTGGGGGGGGAGCGGTTGGGGTGGGTACTTAGTCTTACTTTTATATTAACTTGGTAAATAAATTTAAACTGTGTAAAGCAGTTTACATTTCCCATCCCATCTCAAAATGATTCCATTTTCTTCTCAGGAAGCAACCAATTTTACCATTTAAAAAAATCTTAGAACTTTTCTAAACATGTAGAAGAAAATGATTGTATTTATCTATATTTACATATGCACGTGTTCTTTTTATATAACATGCACAATTCTGTTTGGCACTTTTATTTTTTCACTTGAAAATTCATTCATGTCAATAGATGATAGTGACTGACTAATGAATAAAGTTTCAGAGCACAAATATTGCATCATTCACTTAACTCCTCTCTTTACAGGTTTTCTTATATATCCAGTTCTTACATAAATAACTTGGTTCTTGTGTTATTTTGTCTCTCATGCGTATATTTGATAATACTTATGCTTTCCAGTTTCCTTAAATCCCAGGAAGATGAAGAACCCAGGAACTATGTATTTTAATTCCTTCATGGAGTGCCTATATACCTTATGTACTTCTAAAAAATAAACGCCTTTGTTATCACATTATCAGTCCACAGCACATTAAAAGACAAACAATTGAGCAAACCCTTATATCTATAGTGTGTAAGTCAGCACTTGCTTATTAGTTGTGATACTATTTTGTTAAGGTTCTTAAAATGGTACTTTTTCCTTCTATATAAGAGTGGTATATGGTTATTATCTAAATAAATAAACAAATTATATTTTAAAAGAATATATCAAGAAATTTTTCTTGATATAGTTGGAAGTGGGATATAAAGCCCTCTAGGATTATTGAATAACAGACTAAAAGCAGGGAGCTCTACTGGCTTAGTGGCAAGAAGCTATAATACCAAAGGCACATGTATCGATTCTATCAGTTGCTCTAAGGGAAAAGGATAGACAATCTCCTCCTGTAAGATTAACTGCCCCTAAAACCCCACTGGAGGGTCAGCTGTGAGTCTGTCCCAACTCGATGGCACACAACCACAACCACAGGCATAAAAGATTATTTTGTTATAGACTGTTTGTTCTGCAAAAATATGACACAGAGTCAGACCTTTGTAATGAATTCTGAATTGTGAGTTACTCTTTCCAGAATAATTATAAATATAAGAAATAGAATTATGAAGAGAAGTGAATGAATGATATTTTGTGAGTAGAGTTTCTGCTATATAGCTATAGAAGAGGTGAATGGTTTAGGAGAGGATGCAGCCCTTATGTTCAATTCAGGAATTTGCTATTTGGAATGAAGGTCTATTTTATGGGGAAAATAATAGAAGCTATATATTTCTGGGTGCATTTTTTGCAGTCAAGATGGGATTCAGTGGCAAGAATAAAAATTTTAGAGCCTTAAAATGAGAAAAATGGTGTGAAAAACAATGTATACACACTTTGTAAGTAGACCAGTATAAATAAAAATTTTATTTAAAAAAATCTAGAAAATATTTTTAATCTATTTAACCATGCACAAATATAAATGCCACTATTTATGTGCAAAGCAAATTTTTTTAATAATTTTAATGAATATTTACAGAGAATTTGGATTTCCATTCATTCATTGCAGCACTTCTCTGCCCGCCCAGCCCTCTCCTCCCACCCCCCAGTTCGCTTCTCTCTTTCAAAAGTAAAAGAAAGACTCCCTCGCTGGTACACAATCCCCCCGCACCCCTCCTACCGCCCCAAGTACATTCCATTATTCAACCTCAATTGTGGACTCTTGTGATAACCATTATACCTTATCATACATCGCTTTAAAATTATTCAGTCCCTCATCTGTTTCAGTGCAGTATACACAATTTATCCAGTTTTTCTCAGTGCAAAGCAAATTTGTAAACATCTTGTTGAAATCATGAGCATGGAAAACCTGAGGAAATTTTTGAGATGCAAAAGGCACAAATGTAAGTAAAATGTGTAGGAACTTTTTTTGGTTGGTAGTTTTCATTACTCATTTGAAGGGCATAAACTGCTTTAATTGGCCATCCACTTCTGAAATAGCAGGCCTCTGAAAACCCTATGTACAACACAACACATGTAGGTGAACAGAAAGGGCAACCTAGGTAGAACTTTCAAGCATGGAAATACAAAGGAGGAGAAACAGTTGTAAGCAGACACTAGTGATTGGAACATGGAATGTGAGAACCATGAATGTAGGA